TGTCTGAAGTGTGCTTACTAAAAATACCCTTATAAAGATCTTTTCATAGTATCTAGCACTGTATTCATTATTTCCCCGTTCCTGGTTTCGCGCAACTGCGTTGCGCAGCTACTTATTGGGTAGTACAATTTTTAATCAGATGCCCCAAGGAATAATGAAAATAGCTGCAAAATGTAGAGTCACATAATGAAAGTTGATTTATAATCGGTGGAATTAAAATCAACAATTATGAACATAAATGTTATACTTATTTATCACTACCTAATACTCTTCGAATCATTAATTCAACGAGTGAGTATAAAGTTAATTTATTAATCAGTGGAATTAAGATCAGCAAATCGTATCATGTTATAAGATTCGTGAATAAATATTGTTCTATTTACCATTACCTAACTAATCATTTCGGCGAGTGAGTATAAGATTATTTATAATTGGTGGAATTAAAATAAGCAAATCATAAACATAAATACTTAATTACCAATTCCTAATACCTTCATATCATTTCATTAGCATTAATTGTCAGCGAGTATGAAGATGATTTATTAAACCGAAAATATAAATATTTACCGTTACCTAATATCTTAAGATTACACTTTAATTTAATAGGTCGGTATAAAAACAATTTATTAATCGATGTAATTAAAATCATAAAAAATCTTAACCATTATCTTTCAAATCATTTCATTCATACAAAGATCGGCAATTCTGTAATGTGTATCTGAAGGCAAGGTTGTTAAGTTGTGACTATAGTTGTTAGGCGAAACTGTTTTTCAAAAATGGCAAAAGACGAAACCTGAGCGGCGAAAGGACGAAAGGTGACGAAACCCTGACGAAAGGTGACGAAACCCTGGCGAAAGACGAAACCCCGGCGAAACCTCTGGCGAAAGGCGAAACCTCTGATGAGTGAAAGACGAAACAAATGGTATCCGAACTTTAATAAAAGGCTAGATAAACAAAAAAGTATTTTTCATTAGCTAGGTATTTAGCTTTGAAAGATCAAATATAATTAGTTTTTTAAACTTTGAACGAAGACATCTCAGCAACTACCTAACCAAATTCAATGAAATTTTTTTTTATTTTAATATATGAATTAGCAAAATTAAAATAAAAATTTTTCATCGAGATTAATTAGGTGGTTGTCAAGATATTTTGTTCAAAAGTTAGCAAACAACTCAAACCGTCTAAATAGAAGATGTGCCAAATTTTTTTAAAACTTTGAACAACATCCACTTAACAAATTCAATAAACTTTTTTTTATTGTCATTTTTTAATCTGTAGAATCTTAAAAAAAAAATTATATTGAATTTGATCACGTGTTTTGAAATATCTTCGTTGATAGATGTTTACTATGAGAAATGACTTCTCGATAACCTGACTGACTAATCAATTTCGATGAAAATTTTTTTAAAAGAAACAAATTTATTTATTTAGTTTAATTCGTGATCCGTATACTAATCAGTGGGTGGATATTAAAAAAAGGAATCTGGTGCTGTTCATGAAATAGACGGGGTTTTTACTAAGTAAATCTCTTTTAGGCTTCTAACAAAAAGTTATAGAGACAGTTTTTACAGTTCTAACGGTGTTAAAATTGCTAAAATTGGCCTAGTGAAACACAAGAAATAAGCCTTTGAATTTTCGCGATTTTACAGATCTGCAAAGAAAAACATATGATCGCGAAATATTCAAAGACATATTTCTTTGTAATCTAGGCTAATTTTGGCGATTTTGACATGAGTCGAGAGTTTCCTTATTACAGTATTATAACTAAGCTAGAACTTCCGGTTTACCCACCGGGTTATTTCAATGATTCGAGTAATTCAGTTAACCCAGTTGACCCTATTTGTGGTAAAAAATTCATACGATTGGCTAATTTATGTCCTTTTACACTATTTTCGGCCACTACCTTCAGACTGATACGTCTAATGACCTTTTTTATAATGTATGTCTAATAGGTCTAATGAGCCATAACCATAGTTGTTAGGCGACTTTCGCCAAAAAAATTTTAAAATGGCGAAAGATGGCGAAACTGGCGAAAGGTGGCGAAACTGGCGAAAGATGACGAAACTAATGAAAGGTGGTGAAATTGGCAAATGACGATTAATAATTCGACCAAGCCGGCCTGAATTAGCATAATGCAGGCCAAAATTTCATGCGCAATTTTCATAACTGATAAGTAATTTGCGCGATCGATGTATAGTAGATATGACTTTATCAAATTAACCAATCGGAATTTTTAATTAACCAATAAAATCAAACTTTACTAATGCTACCTGTATTATAATGCCTATTGAGGTTTTTCACTTTTTGCATTGGAAAATAAAATTCATTTCCCGAAACTAACACGAATATCAACCCCTTCGTCGTTTTTACTACTATAAAAATAATAATATGAGTATCTGTTTCAACCAAGTGTATCCTATTTTGCCATTAATTCCCCAGGGCGAAACCGATTGCGGGATATTGGAAACCAAAGAAGAACGTTCAACTGTCAAACAGTCGGCCACGATACGCTTTCAATTCTTTTAAACCAATATGGAACGTACTTTCGGATACACGAAGTTTAGACTAATACTCAATAAGAAAAAAACTCACCTCGTGTGGATTACTTCAAGTTTTCTCAACAACAACGATTTCTTGTTCGAACCTTCTCACCTTCTCAACTGACGACAACTTGATATCAACGACTTCTATAACAAATATTTTTATTTTTAAATTGTAATAAATTTGTGTTAGTGAGAGACACGTGCCTATCTTTTTTATATTTATTCGATATCACTCCTTTTCTCTGGGTCGAGCGTTATTTTCATAACGATGAGATTCAAATCTTAATGATAATGAAAAATCATAGTTATAAAATTATTACTGTATATGTAGAGAAGAATAAAAAAAAAACTTTGACGGTTCTCAGAAAGATGGGTGCAATAATATAAAACAATTAAAAAACGTGCTTTTTCGCTCGAACCATACATTCCAAGAAGGATGCTATTTAAGCAAATTTATATTTATTTACGGTTACACGTTAAAACCTGTTTTATTTAACCTTCACATTAGGACGATCCATCAATTTTCAGGTTAGTCAAAATTTCACAATTTGATTGGTCGATCATCTATCGACTGACTGTAAGAAAATATTCGATATTTTCTCTGTGTATTAAAAAGAAAAATGGTTGATAATGTGTAACGTTTCCTGATAAAATTATAAGACTGTATATTTGTGATATGACTTTGGTGAATTTTACACGCGTTCCCCAGTTAAGGGCTATAACCTCTTATCAACTCTTTCAAATCTTGTCCTTGGAACAAGAGTCGACGTTATTGGAGTTGTAAAATCCTTTTCACCTCCAAGAAAATGTAAGGGCACAGGTAAGTTACATACAGAATTCTTATTATATTTAAAAAGATATTATTTTAACTTTTATTCCCTTTTAACAAATAAAGACTGGTTATGCTCGATTCAAATAATGGACCCTTCACTCACTGGTAAAGTAACGGTCATTATGTTTCGCGCCCAGCACACTGAATTACCAGAAGCAAATATAGGCAGCATTTTTGTGGGAACTGGACTCAGGGTATGTAATTTTCTAACTTATACTTGAAAATTGTTTTTTTTTTTTTTTAAAAAAAAAAAATATATTTATTATTTTTCTGAATTAAATTAAGGTCAGTCATTACATGAATGCACCACAACTTATCGCTTATAAAGTTGAATCTACGTGTACAATAATGAAAGATATCAACTTCAGAGCGAATCGACCCTTAGATCTTACACATCAAAGATCTGCCGAGATCATGGCTTATGCTGAACACTTGAGAATATTTATTATGTGCAACAAACATCACGTAAATTAATTAACATTGCTGACATTCCTGGTCCGAATGTTTTTTTCGATATTATTGCTGAGGTAAGAATTTATATCAACAAAATAATTTAATAATGAATTCATGCAATAATATTCCTTTTATAAATATTTAGATTGTTGAGATACATAGAGTAGAACTTATAACAGAGTTATATATTACCGATTATACTTGTAATGAGTTACTTTGTAATAATAACTTTGTTTGGAGGTTACCAGATGGACTTAATCCATCTAATGTATTACAAATTAGTTTATGGGACGAACATGTGAATGACAGCAATGATCTTGAACCTGGCATGTTTGTATACTTAGAGAATATACGAACAAAGTATCATAGTTCTAATCAATTTCAAGGAGTTATGCATGGTGATTCAAAAACGCGAAGAACGCGACTCATGCAAATAGACTCTAACTCATCTGATGTAATAGAATTGATAACGTAAGTACTGAAAGATTTTATTTTTATCAATTTACTTTATTTAATGTATAATATTCGAATATATATTTAATTTATAATATTCGAATATATATTTAAATTTTTAGCCGAAAGGAATTGTTTATGCAAAAACGTAATAGTTTTTCAAACAAAATCTGTACAATCTCTAAACGTTCAAATATTATTCCAAATATTATTCCAAAAATTATTCCAAAAATTACTCGTAAGTATTAATTGACTTTTTAATTAGCATATGGTATATGAGAGGAATCAAAAAATCATAATACTTTAAAAAACTTAAGCAAAGATCACATATTAATATTGACTGAATTTTGTAATTTAGGTGTTTTGAATTGCCATATTCAACCAACATCTATTCCCGATATCCACAATTTCACTGTATGTTTTATAATCTATTTGTTCTCCTTAATTTATGATTAAGTTTGATTACCTCATTTATTGTTCCTTTATTTGGAAAGTACCTCATAAATTTCTTACTCGTGGTCGTATTGCCGATTTCCTTCCTCCTGTTATTGAAAATTTTATACGACTATATTGCGCTGTCTGCGATAGTATGTGAGTACAGTAGTACAATTACTGTATATAATCAATTACATTTATCAATAATTCATTTGATGAAGTTTTACTTTTTTCTATCAATATT